CTCTCTCTCTCTCTCTCTCTCTCTCTCTCTCTCTCTCTCTCTCTCTCTCTCTCCCTCTCTCTCTCCCTCTCTCACGCACGCTCGCTCGCTGCTCTCGGGACGACGCTGCGCTGCCTCCACAATCCTTACCTATAAGACAGATGATACGTTGCCGGGGGACCTCTCGGTTCGCTGCCGCCCGCCCGTGCGTACCGTGCGCGCAGTATACGTCCGTGTGTAACCGCGGCGTGTTGGAGCGACGCGGAGCAGTACGACGAGCAGGAGCTCGGCCCCGCCCGCCCAGCACTCCTGTAATAAGTGCCCAATCGTGAAGACTACCATCATCCGCGCACGACTCACAAAAGGCTCATCCTCCTCCTCATTCGTCTTCTGGTTGTGCGGCTAGACACACGGCATTTTGCGGGTATGTATGTGTGTGGTAATGGAAGGCCGAAAACGCCGCCCGAAGACGATCTCTCTCTCTCTCTCTCTCTCTCTCTCTCTCTCTCTCTCTCTCTCTCTCTCTCTGTCTCTCTCTCACACACTCGAGACATTGATGTGCGGCAATGAGGAAGCAGATTGTGATCTTATGGTGTCCGCGTGTGATTTGGGACCTACCGAATTCCGAGTAAAGTGCGGCGCCATCACAGTACTTTTGCTTGAGCAAAGCAAGTCGTTCTTCGCGGCGGGACGGCCAGACATAGTGACACACTAAACCGTATCACAACCGGCTCCAAGATGATTGTTAACCCAGGGCAGTGTAGGAGTTAGCTCCGCCCGTGACAGGGCGACTCTGCCGGCTCCTGCAGGAAAAGAAGGGAAAAGGTTGCTGCTGAAGGATGGTTTACATATTTTACGGTACTCCCCCGCCCCCGCCCCCGCCCGGCCGTGATGATGCTCCATAATAAAGTCGTGCAGTATTAAAGTCACGGCGCCTGTACAATGGCGCCAACGCCAACTTTAATTTCCCCTTTTCACGAGCGTTTCTTTACGGCATTGTATATACTCTCACTTATTGGCCGTGCGATCCACGGCGCGGGTTACACTGGGGGACGACGACTTCTGAGTTTTGCCAGGGTGTCGTTGAGTTCAGTCAAAGGTTTTCACCCCCCGCAGTGCAAATCTGAATGCTTTAATGTCTGGCTAGGGAGAGAAAAGAGAGTGGAGCTGAGCTTGGGGGGGGGGGGGGGGGGGGGGGGGGGGGGGGGGGGGGGGGGGGGGGGGGGGGGGGGGGGCTAAAGTCTAAATTAGTCTCGCCTCTAATCCCCTTCCTCACACTAATTTTGGACATCATTAATTTAAAACGGCCAAGTAAATCTCTTGTAATCTTGGCGAGCAGGGTATATCATAAAGTCGACAGCTCGAGTTCATCCTCCACGAAATGTGACGAAAAAGACGTAATACAATAAGCAAAAGTGTTGGGGAACTTGGTGAACATATCATTCTGCCTGGACTTTGGCCCACAGAGGAGGAAAAAAAAAGAAGTACATAAGCCGAACTTGGGCTGTGTGGTGCCTCTCCGTAGGTACAATGTACCTCTCTCGTGGCGCGACTGGCGCATATTCGAGCATAATGAGTGATGATTGTTTTATCGGACACTGCCGCTTCATCGTCATGGCGGCCCGCCCACAAAAATTCCGCGTGAACCAGCATCATCGCCGGGCCGACTGGCCAAAGATAATACGAAAACGCTTCTCTTCGGAGAGCTTCCCCCCGAGTCATGGAGTGCAATAAGCCACGCGTTATGCGCGTCCAATCCTCCGAATCATCTCTCTGCGGCTCCGGCGGGCAGGGCGTGGCGTGGCTGGGCGTGGCGGGCCAGACCCATGAGATATGGACGGCTCGGACAACCGTGAAAATGGTACCTGGGCAAGGTCGCGGCCGCGGGCGACAGACGACAGACGACTCCCTCCGCGCGTCACGCGTCGGCGTCCATATCGAAAAGGAAAAGTGGAAAAGTGTTATTGTTCATCGCGCACATCAGACCCTCTCCTCCTTGTACACACACAAGCCGCCTACCCCCGTCGAGGCGAAAAAACAAACAGAGCTATCAAGTTTCCGTACGCAATAACGATAATAGCAATTTTATATCTACACACTGCGTCCGTTTGTTTTGGTTGTGTGGTTACAAATAGCTGCCAGCGCCGGGGGGTTGGAGCGGTGGCGACGGCGACGGCGTGAGGGCTCCACACAACAGAATGAGCCGGAGAGGGAGGGAGAGG